GGCATCTCAACATGGCGATGCCCGGGACAAATTTCGCCACCAGCCCAGTTTGTTGCTGTTGCGGCTGTTCTCGAGTTGTTTTCCTGCCCATATGCCGGCGCGATGACACTTAACAAATGATCGCATAAGTGCACACAAAACGCACATTGCACGGCGGGCACGGGGCCAATGATTGGGTTGTTCCAGGTCCGGGCCTGGGATCGGGATCGCAATCGGGTCTGGGTCTGGGACTGGGATGGGAGTAGGGATGCGGTCTTTGTGTGGGCAAGTCTCGAGTGCTATCACTGCTCAACCGGCATATTTTGTATGACAACAAGTCGTGCGGATGGGGAATTCCTGGTGCGGAGCACAGAGTGCGGTGTGAAATGTTTGCAAAATAAATGCGGCACTTGAATTAGGCAACATTTGTGGCCGCTCCAATGCTCCAATGCTCCAGTCAAGTGCTGCTCTTCTCTTATTTTCGTGCCCAAGCCACGAACCTTATTAAACTCAATCTGTTTAATCAAATTAGGAGAAATCAGCACTGCAGATGCTGGATGCGAAGGTGGTGCTGGCGAGGATCGGATGCTCACGAGATGCGTTGGCGTTGCTTGTGGACCAAAAGTTGGCAATGGCATTTGGTGCCGCTACACCCACTTTTTATTTTGGCACTGGCACTGCCACAGCGCAGGAACCTTTGTTCGCCTGAGCTCGACTCTTGAGGTTGCAGCCTGGGTTGGAGCCCAACTTCTCAGCCAGAGACTCGCCGGCCTGAGTTTTCCTGCCTGTCAGCCTCGGCTGCACATTAAGCCGTGCATTTAGTCGCCGGGTCTCTGGGCTGGCATTTGAACTTATTGCCACAGTTGGGCGCGCTGTCATAAAACCAAAATAGAAACCGATGAGGGAAACAAATCTCTGTAGGCTGCTTGGCATATGGGTGAATGCTGCCCAGAAACCATGAGCGGCGCAAGCTTGGGCCAGTGCAAGAGGGAATTTATTTTCCTAATTAAAACCATAGTTTTAATCGATAGCCAACCTATTTTTATATTTACTTGTATCAACTTTGCTGATTGCTTGTGTTTAAGTTCTGGCAGTTTTTGGGTTCCCCCATAACTGCACCAGTGGAGGCGGTAACTCACACCAACAGCCTGTTTATGGCTAAAACAAAAAACTCGGTGCCATGTGTGCCCTTTGGCACTGTATATTTCTCCAGCTGCACGGCCTTAGTGGATGATCCACGCTTTGGACCTGGCCAAGCTGCAATCTGAATGCTTTTGGGAGTGGGTGAAACCTTGACTTGGAAACTGTGCAAAATCCTTTAGAGCGTAACTAATTAAAATATCAACATTTTTAAGAGGCGTAGTGAATGTGTTAAATTGACTTTTCCCGGGGGTGGTTTTGTCAATGCCCGATACCCGATACCCTGTACCCGATACCCTATACCCGATGCTCGCTGGCTTTTCCGTGAGTGTGGGTCGCCTGCGACTTTGGGGTCAGCGTTGGCATTTGGCAAGCTGCATTCGTGAGAAGTGCCCCACCAGACCTTCAACTAATTAAGTTGCAATTAAATGTTTTAATAGCTGAGCGGCCGACATCCGTTGGCTGGTAAACGGCTGCTACAAAACCAAGAAATGCGTGGCGTCCAAATGAGGAGCGCGCCTCATTAAAGCGCGCACGGTCTGCGGAGCCATTACCAAAAGACGTGCAAGGCGGCCAATGCAATTGCAAAAAAAGGAGCAAAAGTGCGGGGAAAATATTAAAAAAGTGAAGCGATATAAAAGCAGTAGGGAGGCGCAGCTGCCAAATACCCTGCAGAACAGCATCAAAGCCCAGACTTCAAAAAATATTTCAAATCACTGGAAACTTTTGAGCGCAGCTAGCTATTGCTAGAAATTTGTGTACTTCCCCACAGAGATGCAAAGCTGAGATCTTTATTACTTGGCACACGCATTTAACAGGCTCATCCTTCGCTGAGGAAGGGCATCGGAAGAGGCCCCCAAAGGCTGCCCCTTGGAACATGGCTCCAACTTGGCCGCCGCTGCTAAAAGGGCTGCGCGCATGCGCAGCACACATGCCGTGGGCACTGGTCGCTTTTGCTGGTTTACTGGTTGGTTGCTGCTGCTGCGGCCCTTGCCACTGCTGCAATAAACGTCAAAATGCGGCCCATTGCTGTCCATTTCATCAACGTGTGAAATAAATCACTCAAAGTGCTGCAGATCCATTAAGGGCAGCCGCAGCCGCAGCCGCAGCCGCAGCAAGAGCAAGGCAAAAGCGCAGCAAAGGCAACAGCAAGAGCCGCAGCAGCAATGAGCAAAACTCGTCGTCGCGTTGCCTTTGTGGTAAATACATTTTTAGCATTTTGTCTGCTGATACCAATGGGTGTTGTACATGGCAGTGACGACGTCAGACGATGATGAGGATGGCGATGGCGATGGCGATGGCGATGGGGATGACGATGACGATGATGTCGACGGCTGCTGCAACAATAAAGACTGTATGCCAGTGGCCACGGTTTTTCCCCCACCCATCAATTGCAAGTTGTTCACCTTTTGCAATCTCAGTTCTTACCTTGGACTCTGTTTCTTTTCGCCGCTTTGACTTTCCACTGGGGTTTCCCTTTTTGGCGTGCTACGCGCCAGGGAAACAAGCAAAAATCCAAATTATATTTTATTGCTTAAATTCAATTAACGGCGGGCCCCAAAATCACTCGAAATCAAAATTGGCAACAGCCTGCTTGCGCTTTCATCCGTTCTCAGAGCCATGCAGCTGCACGACCTATCCACATTTCGATTTCGAATCTGAATCTGCATCTGCATCTGCATCTGCATCTGCAACGGAGTTGCCAGTTCTCTGGGGCAGCAGTAACGAAAGCGAGGCATCAAAACAAGTGCCTCTGCAGGCAAACAGTGGGTAAACAGAAAGTTGATTGAAAGTTCGGGCGTTGCAGCTGGAAAATGAAAACGGCTGGGAAATCAGGGGTAGATTTGGTGCTATTAAGAGCGGAAATATGTGGCAAAGTGGAGGAAATAATGTGAAACGGAATTATAGAATGCAATACCTAAAAGATCGTTAATTAGATGCCATTTTTAGTTGGGAGTGAGTTTCGCTCACATTATAATTCCAAATAAATAAAGCCAGTGTGCAGAATGTTTCGAGCCTCACAATAAAACTGAAGCAAGGCAGGTATTTTTCTAGTTAATGTGGGCAAACAAAGCAGGCCCAATCAATTAATGTTAGTAATTAATTCATAATATCGTGATTGTGAAAACAACCGCTGGCTGATATCAATCAAGGTGCATAAATATTTACCCCTGCCGCCGCCCACTCATTAGCAAAGCCCCTTGAGGGTCGTAAATACATATTTTATTCCTTGCGAATTGGCTGGGGGCTCGGCAATTCTGGCCATTGTCACAGAATGCAACTAATTGCTTTAATTTGCAACACACACATGCACACTTGCCACAACAGACAATCATTGATGCGCATAAATCTTATAGGAACTCTTTCTACTTAATTGGTTTTAGTGTCGCACAAACAAAAGGGCATAACTAACAATTAGGCCATTGGTACTTATAAACTGAAATACGCAACAATGTGTCCGTCGCATGTATTTTGCAAACGAGTGTGGAGCATAAATCTTAATTACGCTTCGTCGAGCGTAAATCATCATCAGTCGAAGCTGCCTCCAGTCCCAGCTTTTTGGCCCCAGAAGGAACTGCGAATTGATTCCAGCGAGGCAGCGGCTCCCAGAATGGCTCCACCAAACTTTGACAATTTGCTCGGCAGTTTTAAATCTTTTACGATCTCCGTAAAGACTTCCAGACTGACTGACTACTTGCAGATATTCCGGGCTACTTGGCCTTGTTTCCTTAATCTTGTTCCGTATCTGCCTAAATATGACTGCACTTTGTTCTGGATCTTCTGGCACATTGCACTGGAAGAAATATTCTGCAGAGAGCTTTCCAGTTGTAAAGCAACTTTGTATTTTTTAAGCACGTGTTCAGAAACTGAAGACTGGTAGAATTGCCTAGAATTTAACTAAAATTTGCAATTTTGGCCCAAGAGGGAGTGGGTGTATGCTAGCCGCTTTTGGAAGCAAGTTCATTACAAGCAGTTATTTTATCATAAAAATTCTTTCCCCTAAGTGCAGGGTCATCAAAAGGCAGAGGAAAGCCAATCTAATATCTGAGCAGTTGGCATCCTCCTTATGACTCTGACAATCAGGTTCGCCTGTTCGGTCGGCGGGATTCAAAAACGAAATTTTTACAAGTTGTAAAGATTAAAAGTCCATTAGGCTGCAGCCGCAGTCACAGTGGAAGCCGCACGTATAACTTGTTTGGACCAACCCAGCATCCATTTAAATGCGCGCAATGCAATCACTCAAATTGGCCAAAGCGCCAGAACGTGCAAATGGCCAGGACGGAGCGGGGATTACATGAAATATTTTAATCCATAAGATGCAGTTAAGTGCATCCATCAGCGCGTATTTAGAATTTAATAAATACGGAAGCGAGAACACGACTCCGAACACGACTCCCTAGCAAATGCACTTCGAAAGCCAGCTATTTTAATTTATTTAAATTTCCAGCCGCTCTCGCACATAACCAACTGCAATTTGGACTGCAGCACCAGCACACGACTTGGACTCCGACTCCGACTCCAGGTAAGAAAAGTGAACATCCATTAGTTGTGCTAATGATGCGCAACCCACTTTGCAGCGTTCCGCCCCAAGTAGAACTCCAGATGCTCCTCCTCCTCCTTTTCCACATCCACATCCACATCCCCAGCCATATCCATATCCACATCCAAGCCCAAACCCAAAGCCATAAGCCAGTGTCCTGTGCCGGGGACTTTGCCGGCTACTTTGGAACGCATTTGGCCAGTTTGGTTAGTTAGCTCCGCTGCGCTGTGTGTGCTGCTAATGTAAGTGGCCAAGAAAGGGAGTGGAAAGTGGCAAGAGATTTGCTTAGTGAAATAGTCAGAATAGCAAATGCGCTGAGTGCTAAAAACTTTCCGTTGACTAGTGTAATTTTGCGACTTTATTGAACTCAGCGTGCACTTTTAGAGCTGCCTCAGGTTAATAAAGTGGGAACTGGATTTGGTATAGCTGCACATGCTTCGGAGGCTTTATTAAACCACTCAGTGTTCCTTACAGATAGACCTGGAAATTAAAATAAATACCGCATTAAACTAAAGCTGATTAAGAGTATTCATTTAATTACCATAAGCTGGTTCAGGTAGAACTCATAGGGTATGTGGCCGCTAATTGGATCTATGGCCACCGGCCACATCTCATCCATTTCCTCCTGGGTGAACGGCTCGCCCTCCTCCATCATCAGCTTGCCAAAGCTCTCCTTGGTCAGATAGCCCTTGTTCTCCGGATCCAAGATCTTAAAGGCCTGCAGAATTTTCTCTGGCGGAGCGGGTTCCATTCTGTGAATGTACGTGTATGATTTTCCAGGAATGAGAATTCAGTAAAACCAAGCATCCATCACCCACTTTCGTTCCATGAGCAGTTGCGAGACGTGTGGCAAAAACTTGGTCAAATGCACCTCGCCACTGGTCTCCTCCGATTCTGTGGCCGAGATGACTTCGTTCACCTCCTCCTCGGTGGGAACACAGCCCAGAAGTCTGAGCACAGTGCCCACCTCTCTGACATCGATGAACTTGTCGCCGTGATGATCGAACACACAGAAGGCATCCGAAATGCGTTTCTCCAAGTCGTTATTCACTGAGGGAAATGGCTTCTTTAATTAGTAGGTTCTGGCAATTATCAAATTTGGCTTATTACAGTCCATATCCATGTTATTGGCTTGAGCGTTTAGCACCAACTGAGACTCGCAGTGGGTGGAAAGTGTTAAATCAATATCCCAATGAAACTAACACTGTTGCCAGGGGTGATTTGAATAGATGCAGAAAATCATTACTACTTTCTTGTACATGCGTTTTTAAGTAGCTAGTTTTTATGGCATTCCCCCATTTTCCTACAGAGAGAACAACAACCCATCGTTTTCGCTTGGATCGAACAGATCCAAATCCACAAAAGGCTGTGGCATCAGCCGAGGCGGGCCCATAATGCTACGGTAAAAACTGCCATGGAGCGGCCCATTAGGCAGCTCATGGAGGCCATCATATTGGCCCATTACCCATTACCATTTCGCCGATCCAGCGATTCCAGCTGTCTGGAAAGGAACACGGAAGTATTCCCTGGCCTTACTGGGTGCGTTTTGCTGCCTGGCCAGCAGCAACAAGTGCATTTTCGGAGCTGTGCCCACTTTAATGGAAATTACTGCAGAGCTCGCCATTAATTTTCCCTCACATTTGTCTGGCCAGTTTGAGGCCGGCTCTCAACGCATTCGATTCGATTAAAAAATGGCAAAGGCAAGTACAAGAACTGCTCCATTCACGCTAATGCGTGTCGTGTACAACACGCTTGCCACTTGAGCTGTTTGCCGCATCGCATCTCCCAGAATCTATGTACACATATATATAGTAACTATATATGCCCTGCGCTCCGCACCGGCTTCCCGCAGCTCCCATCATCGCCATCATCGAGTCCACGTACACACTTGCCTATCTGCTGGAGCTGGAGCTGGACCTGGCTCTGGATCTCCACTTGGCCCTCTGCCGGGCTACTGCCATAAACACTAAAAGTGTTCGTCATTTGCTGTTCCAGATCCAATTAACCATTTTGATGCATTTGCCTCCATTAACTCTTTCTCGCTCTCGCATTCGGGCCCTTTTGCAAGGGCATAGGCCCGTCTGCTACACAGAAACAAAAACACATCTGGCTTATCTGGTTTTAGCTAAGTTCTTGGCTATACCTTAGTTTGCTTAGTATGAAATATATGATGCTGCTTAACTTGATCGTCGCTGAGCAGCGCACTTTTTCTTTCTGTGTGCAATTTCGCTGCTAACTTGCAACGTGATCGGAAGTTTGTCTTGGCCCATCTTCAACAAACCACTCCGTACCATACCAAGCCAAACCCTACACCATAGTACACCCATCCCCGACTGCCTGACGACGTGTCCGTGACTCGCAGACCCTCATACGAGGCTGGCAGAGGAGCATGGGGCTGCTGCAAAGTACTTTGTAAATGTTGGCATGATTTAAGTCGGCTCTTAGTCTCTTTATTCTGACATTTACCCCAGGTTTGTCTATTAGGCATGCGATTAAAATTTAAATTAAAGTCGCGCTGGCTCCGCAGCGGGATTGGGTTTCACCATCGGATGGTATCGGCTGGGATGATGGCGATTCCTTATAGAGCCAGCCACGCCCGTTGCCATCTCCTCCCGGTCCGCCAGTTCCGGTTACTGCCCTGCGTTTTGCTCATCTGTCAATTTCGACACCTGTGGCAGACAGTTCGGGTGCCTGGATGTGGGGACATGGAAGTGTTTCCTGTGTTTTCCTGTGGAAACTGCTCGGCTTGGAGGAAGAAATCTATTTGGATGGAAATGTGACAGCGATCGCCTGGCTTCGTGCAAGCAATTAAGTCGGAGCTAATTTATTTCAATTCTGCTTCAGAGATCTTTGTAAAGCCATCGCAAAGCCCTTCACTTGGCACCACAGGCAACCGCAAAATAAGGTCACATCCACTCGAATCGATTGCCCTTTCCAGATGCCAATCGCAATAGCCATTTTCCATTAATAAACAATTATTACTATGGCTACCTTTTTTTCATTTTTGCATTTAATGCCCAATTGAAATTGGGTTACAATGCGTGCGTACGCATACTGAAGTAATTAAATGGAATTTAATAAACATAAACATTCGAATAATGAATGCTACCTTTCGCAGCACCAGCAGCACCAGCAGCACTGGCCAGTAAGCGGAAAACCCCGGACAAAAGGCGGCCCAGATACTTTTGTTGAATTAATTAGAGTAAGAAAGGCTGCCAGACAGCAGCGGCAGCAGTCTTTAGCCACCTTTGTACTCACATGCCTTTAAACGATTCGTAAAGAGAATTCAATTCAGTCGAACTCGAGTCGAAGTGATATGAAAGAATTGATTAATAATCATAGCTAAAACCTCAAAAGACCAGCCCAGCGGCTTCACCTCTTCTCTTACCAACCAAATGGTCGGCTACTGGCAAAAGCGGCCACAAAAGCGCTGACGCCATGGTCCCACTCTCGACTCACATCAAGGCCAATTGGGCTGGCTCCAAGCTCCAAGCTCCAAGTTCCGAGCTCCAACGGATCCACGCTTACACATGAAAAACAAATGATGTGCTGCGGAATGCTTAGGGTTTGAAATATTGCAGGAGACCAGTTTTCCAGTTCGTATTAATAACCTGGAAAATCGTAGGAAAATTGGTAACAATTGTATTAGCCAATTAAGAATCAATTATTTAATATTGAATGGAAAATTGAAATTTTGACATTACTATTATCAATGAATTTCTGTTCACACTTATGAATATCTATGTTATTTTAAACATTTCAAAAAAAATTAAAAATGCTTTTTCAAACCATTATTGTTTGCGCTCTTCCTATTTTCTGTTCGTCCGATGTAACTTTTAGCCATTCTGTTAACCCGAATGCGATGCAAATTATTTCCTGTGCAGCTCTTCTATTGCTGCCCCAAACCGAGTACACATGTTGCTAGTTGCTGCCGTGCTCCATATTCTGGATACTCTGTGCTCGGGACTTGACTTTGATTCAATTTCCATATGAAAACATCGATTTGCGTTTGTGCGCCCGCGTCGTCGTAATCAAAGTGTTGTTTATGGAACACGTCCGGCGTGTTTTTCTCAATTTTTTTTTGCTTTTCTGGTTGCTTGAGTTGCTGTTGTTGCTGCTGCCTTGTTGGCTGGCTATAAAAAATTGCTCACGGCAACAATTGCGCTCGTCGGCTAAAAAAATATGTAGCAGCGATTACATTTGCCTATTGCATGGAGGCACCGAAGCTAAAGCCAAAGCCAAAGCCAAAGCCAGGCTAAAAGCAAACGAGTCCGAGTACGAGTCCCGAGTTATGATTGAGTTCTAATGAGTTGAGAAAAATGTATCAAGGAAAACCAGTTCCCGGAATCGCAATTAGATAAGTGGGTTTATTCGTGCCACAAACGTGAGCTGCAAGAAAGCGCAACAAGGAGAGTCGGATCGGATCGAATCGAATCGAATTGAATCGAATGGCATCGGGAAATGGAAATTATTTCCCCCGAACAGCGGCCTAACAAATGTGCAGCACATTTATATAATAAGGCGTTACAAATATTTTTCAATTTCATTAATTTTTTTGTTGGTGGGCAGGAAGAAAAATGTACCTGTCTATGGCAGAAACTTGTTTAACTGGCTAAACGAGAAGGGCATCTGGCATGCGAAATGCAAAATTGTAATAATAACAGAGCAATGTGTGCATAATTGAATGAGTACAATAATACGACTGTTTATATACCGCAAGGGATAGGGTTTTAAGATTATCTACATTTAATATATAGCCTTGGCTCCAGTTTTTTGACCATTCATTTTTGCAGCTATCAATACTTTGATGCCAATTCACTTTTTCTAAACGACCTTTAAACATCCATCACTTGAAATAATTCAATTGGACGGCATTAGTTCCGTCAAAGACACTAGAATAATAAGTTGCATTGGTTTTGCACTATGCAGTCACTTTCTTGGTGACACGGCAGTAATTGCGCTCTTCCCGATCGCAGAAAATTGAGAGCATAAAAATCTAAAAATACAATGTGAGTGAAAACAGTAAACAAAAAAGTTGTGCTAGAAGACACAATTTTATCTAAGAAACGAATTTGATTAATGTTTTGGTCAATTTCGTTGTAATATGAGCTAAATATTATTTAAATTGATAATTGATATTATTTAATTGATGCCGTGACTATTATTGTTTTTTAAGAAGTTGTTTTAATATTCTTTAGTTAAAATCGCCGCTCGAATTAGCTACCGTTTAAATATAAATATTTTTATTATTAATTATCTGTAATATTATATATGTATTTTTTGGTACCCAGGGAACACCACGGGGAGGACATTACAATTGTAATGGGGTCGTATATTTATATGACCTTCGAGTCGACTTGAAATAATAAATGTTAAACATAAATGTATGTATGTATGTATGTATGTATGTATGTATGTACGTACGTATGCCTGTATGTACGTATGTATGTATGTACGTATGTATGTATGTATGTAGTGTATGTGTTACTTGCACAAAGTAGTAAAAATTGTCTTAATTAAAGCCTGAAGAATGTTTAACTTACTGTCGGAACACAAAGTTATTGCCGCTTTTGATATTTGTTCAGGAAAAATTTCGTCTTGTAGCCCTATAATTCCCAACTAGTTCTAGCGCGGGCGGTAAGGCATGTCTGCTAATTTCGAGTCGAAAGTAGTCCAAGTCATCCTCTTGTCGGTCGAGCAGCGAGTGTATGTGTATGTGTAGTGTACGTGTAGTGTATGTACGTACGTACGTACGTATGTATGTATGTATGTATGTACGTACGTACGTACGTACGTACGTACGTACGTATGTATGTATGTATGTATGTACGTATGTACGTATGTACGTATGTACGTATGTACGTATGTACGTACGTATGTATGTATGTATGTATGTATGTATGTATGTATGTATGTATGTATGTATGTATGTATGTATGTATGTATATATGTATGTATGTATGTATGTATGTATGTATGTATGTATGTATGTATGTATGTATGTATGTATGTATGTATGTATGTATGTATGTATGTATGTATGTATGTATGTACGTATGTATGTACGTACGTATGTATGTATGTATGTATGTATGTATGTATGTATGTATGTATGTATGTACGTATGTATGTATGCATGTGTGTATGAATGTATGCAGGTATGTATGTATGT